TGGAAGGTCCCCTGGGGCACCAACCCTGACGAGCCCCTGGGGCATCGATGCCCCAAAGAAGAGCCCCTGTGGGCGACATTACCCCTGGCGGTCCCTCTGGGTGATGTAACCCTTGGCGGTCCCCTGGGGGCGACGTTACCCTGCCGGCGGCTGGAGGCGCAACCACACCTGAGAGGTCCCTGGGCACCGGTGCCCTGGGAGGGACCCTCTGGGGCCACCACACCTGGACCCTGGTGCGCCACCGCCCCAGGTAGGGCCCCTGGGAGCGCCGCCACCTTGCCAGGTTCACTGGGGCACCGACACCCCTGTGAGAGCCCCTAAGAGTGACGCACCTGGTAAGGCAAATGGGAGGCCCTAGGCGCACTATCACTGGATTAACCGTGGGGCAGTTGTTTTGCACATTTAGAACAATGGAAGATATGAATAAATACTCCGCCCATCGCATTTCCAGTATCATCACACCATGAACAATGTAAAGGAGAATAAATATCCAACAGGAAAACATAAGTTAGGTGTTGTGCTGACTGACTGCTCTGTTCTCCTATTGTTGATATTTGCATTTACATTTTAGTCCACCAATCACAGTTAAGTAAGGGATTGCTGGACTTATGCAATACGTACGAAACTATGACCTAAAAGCTATATGTCTCCAGGTAGTGGAGGCCTCTGAGGCCCATGGGAAGGCCCCCAAGGGTACCGTCGCCCCTTGGGGCGCCACCGCCTAGGAAGGTCCCCTGGGGCACCGCTAACCCTGACGAAAGCCCCTGGGGCATCGATGCCCCTAAGAGCCCCTGTGGGCGACATTACCCTTGGCGGTCCCCTGGGTGATGTTACCCTTGGCGGTCCCCTGGGGCGTTACCCTTGGCCGGCGCCTGGTGGCGCAACCACACCTGAGAGGTGCCCCTGGGGCACCGGTGCCCTGGAGGGACCCTCTGGGGCCACCACACCTGAAGGACCCTGGGCGCCCACCGCCCCAGGTAGGGCCCCTGGGAGCGCCGCCACCTTTGCCAGGTTCCCTGGGGCCACCAACACCCCTGTGAGAGCCCCTAAGAGTGACGCACCTGGTAAGGCAAATGGGAGGCCCTAGGGCGCACTATCACTGGATTAACCGTGGGGCAGTTGTTTTTGCACATTTAGAACAATGGAGATATGAATAAATACTCCTCCATCGCATTTCCAGTATCATCACCATGAACAATGTAAAGGAGAATAAATATCCAACAGGAAAACATAAGTTAGGTGTTGTGCTGACTGACTGCTCTGTTCTCCTATTGGTTGATATTTGCATTTACATTTTAGTCCACCAATCACAGTTAAGTAAGGGATTGCTGGGCGATGCACATGCACGAAACCACGACCTAAAGCTATATGTCTCCAGGTAGTGGAGGCCTCAGGCCCCTGGGAAGGCCTCCAAGGGTACCGTCGCCCCTGGGTCGCCACTGCTTTGGATGTCCCTCTGGGGCACCGCAACCCAGAGGAGAGCCCCTGGGGCATCGCTGCCCATAAGGAGAGCCTTTGGGCGACGTTACCCCTTGGGCGGGCCCCTAAGGGCGACGTTCCCTTAGCCGGCGCCTGGGGCGCTACCACACCTGAGAGGTCCCTTGGGGGCACTGGTGCCTCTGGGAGGGACACTGTGGGCGCCACCGCACCTGAGAAGGCCTCTGGGTGCGCCACCGCCCCAGGGGCCCCTGGGAGCGCCGCCACCCTGCCAGGACCCTGAGGGCACCGACACCCTATCAGAGCCCCTAAGAGCGACGCACCTGGTAGGGTACATGGGAGGGACCCAGGGGCACTATCACTGGATTGACCGTGGGGCAGTTGTTTTTGCACATTTAGAACAATGGGAGATATGAATAAATACTCCCATCGCATTTCGAGTATCATCACACCATGAACAATGTAAAAGAGAATAAATATCCAACAGGAAACATAAGTTGGGGTGTTGTGCTGACTGACTGCTCTGTTCTCCTATTGGCTGATATTTGCATTTACATTTTAGTCCACCAATCACAGTTAAGTAAGGGATTGCTGGAAGTATGCAATGTACTACACTACCACCAAAAGCTGCAGGTTTCCAGGCAGGACGCTCTGGTAGGCCTCTGGGAAGGCCCCTGAGGTACCGTCTGCCCTTGGG